ATTATTTATATACATGTATATATACTTCTAGCGTTCTTTTTCCGTCGCAACGGAATGGATGGACATAACGCCAGTAGAAAGCACGCGGACGAGATCGTAGTTGCTGGAGCATACTCTTGCATTGCTGAATGATACATTCCGTTAAAATCCAAACTCGTAGATTCATGTTGTGCACAAGGTCCAATCAATAATTATTTAATGTTTATTTTGTGTCCAATCAAAAACAGATGGTCACATTTGACAAATTAATAACTATTTAATTCTACTGTGCGTCCATGTCCATTCAAAAACAGATGATCGAGACGCGGATGATGACGAAATACCGGGTGCTCGCAGCCTGATATTTAATCTGGCTAATGAATCGGGTAAGGGGGCACGTTTTGACTTGTGTTTCCTTTTTTGTTTGGCTATAAGTCATAATTATTATCTATGCGTTCTATGTATTTGTAAGCTTTGTCTTTGTGGTCTATGTATTTATGAACTTGTCTGTGTCATGTGCATTCGCCAGCTTTGTCTATGTATCATGTGTACGTGTTAGCTTTGTCTATGTATCATGTGTATGTGTTGTGTTAGCTTTGTTTATGTGTCATGTGTATTTGCTTTCTTTGTGTATTTATTCTGTGTATATGTTAGCGTTGTCTATGCATTCTGTTTCTCTGTTAGCTTTGTCTATGTGTCATATGTATTTGCTTTCATTGTCTATTTATTCTATGTATGTGTTAGCGTTGTGTATGTATTCTGTTTCTCTGTTAGCTTTGTCTATGTGTCATGTGTATTTACTTTCTTTGTCTATTTGTTCTATGTATGTGTTAGCGTTGTGTATGTATTCTGTTACTCTGTTAGCTTTGTCTATGTGTCATGTGTACTTGTTCACTCTGTCTATGTGCCTCCTGTGCTTGTTAGAAGTTTAAGTGTTTAATACTTAATGGTTGGCTACAGTAGTGCATATTATTTATCCGTGTGCCATCCCTTCCGAATAGAGAGTATATGTTGTAATGTTCAGTTGTACTAACATGGCTATTCTCACTTTGCGAACAGATGATGATGATGGAGACGCCCTCATGCCCACAGCCGACACAGATAGCCCAATGCCGTCGAAGGAAAAGGACTCGAGCGCAACTGCGAGGAAATCACTCAGTAAGAAGTACGTGCTCAATAGTCTAGTCTAGTCTTTGTGCATAGGAAGCGTTTATATTGGCGTATATGGTAGTTTGTGTATGCCAATCATTTGTTTATATGACATGATCTAAATGCATGAACACATACAACATTGGTCGATGCGAGGAAATCGCCCAGTAAGAAGTATGTGCTCAATATAGTCTATTTGTGTGCGTATAATGCGTTTCTATTTGTTCGTATGGTATTAGTTGTGTGTTTATAAAGCGTTTCTTTTTGATTGTATGGTATTAGTTGTGTGTATATAAAACGTTTCTATTTGTATCTATGGTATAGTTTGTTTGTGCGGATCATTTATACGAGAATATATGGAACAACCCATGTACATGTGCATATGCACTTTTATCTATACGTGTTAATCGTTTAGTAAGAAGTAGGTATATGGCTGCCGTTTTATTGTGCGAAACATTGCATCCTGACGAGAACAACACGCACTCACTTACGTGTGTCATTAACAAACAGGAAAGGCTATGTGATCTGTGTGTTACTTTGATCAACAAAACACGACTGACTATATTCTGTGCTCCTCTGATGTAAAGATCATTCCCAAACAGTGCGCAAAACGGATTTTCAAACCAAACACAGACACAAACCCTGAGTGTAAGTCTGAACATTAAGGATTGTGTTTTTAAACCGCTTTCGACATGTAATTGATGCACGCCACACCCTTCTTATCTTGACATTTGACAAATAGGCCGTCTACAAAGCTCCCACAAAATACAAATTCGGCCCCAAAATCTGAACGGAGTCCCAATTCAGCGCAAACGGGACAGGGCGCGTCCTCAATACCAGCCAATGGGACCGCCAGCACGGGCACAGCGGATGTCATGGTCATTGACTTCTACTTAGACGGCAACTACATACCGCGTGATCTGCCCATTTTCTATGCCATACAAAGATTCGCACCCTCGTTTGAACGGGACTTTACGCATAGCCATGCGAAGGCAGACGCTGTGGTTGGTATGGCTGGTGTCGTTGTTGATTAAGAGAGGCTCTTTCTTTCGCACACAGGCATACGTACATGTAGTCTTACAGCATACCTACATGCACACCCACGTGCATACGTATATGCGTACTTGCATGCATACCTATATGCATATCTACGTGCATATGTACATGCGTACCTACATGCACACTTTTATGCATGTATGCATGCATATCTACCTGGATATATGTGTGCATACCTACATGTACACCTACATGCATGCATATGTCGTTGTACAGCATTTGCTCTATGTAGTCAACAAGCTGGTGAAAGTAGCCAGCAAAGTACTCGGCAGATATCTGTGGGATCCAAGCTATGAACTGGCGTATCGCAAACACCTATACTAATACATCCAGCGGATTTGCTACACACACATCCATGTATCAACCACCCACGTATTTGTACCCTTGGGCCACGTTCTGCTGCTTTTGGTCATATTCGTATTCGCACCTTTTCCACAGACAATACAACCGGCGACTGCGAAAGCAATCGGCACATCCCCGGCAGTTATCTGTGGAATCGCAATTATGAACTGACGTATCGCGTGCGAATGGCCACGGCCGACGAAGCACCGCCTGCGCTGTCACTGTCTCTGTCAGACTCAAATGCCCACCGAAATGGCCAGAAGTTGGTATGATCGTATTGATGTGTTTGTATTAATGTGTCTGTATTGATATGTTTGTATTGATGTGTTCGTATTGATGTGTTTGTATTGATATGTTCATATTGATGTGTTCGTATTGATATGTTTGTATTGGTGTGTTTGTATTGATGTGTTTGTATTGATGTGTTCGTATTGATATGTTTGTATTGATGTGTTTGTATTGATGTGTTTGTATTGGTGTGTTATGTTTGTATTGATATGTTTGTATTGATATGTTTGTATTGATGTGTTTGTATTGATGTGTTTGTATTGATGTGTTCGTATTGATATGTTTGTATTGATGTGTTTTTATTGATATGTTTGTATTGATGTGTTTGTATTGATATGTTTTTATTGATATGTTTGTATTGATGTGTTCGTATTGATATGTTTGTATTGATGTGTTTGTATTGATGTGCTTGTATTGATATGTTTGTATTGATGTGTTTGTATTGATATGTTTGTGTTGATGGGTTTGTATTGATGTTTGTATTGGTATGTTGATATGTTTGTGTTGATATGTTTGTATTGGTATGTTTGTATTTATATGTTTGTAATGATGTGTTTGTATTGATGTGTTGGTTTTGATATGTTTGTGTTGATGGGTTTGTATTGATGTTTGTATTGATATGTTGATATGTCTGTGTTGATATGTTTGTATTGATATGGTTGTATTGATATGTTAGGATTGATGCGTGAGCTGATATCTGATGCAACACAGATGTTTGAAACAAAACACAATTGTCCAAACACAATTGGTGCCTTGCGCGTTTGTGCACGCATCTACAACCACCACTCACGTGGTATTGTTCGTTGCTTTGGAATTGCCATGTGCTCTCACAGGACGCTACGTCGGTCCTCGCACCACCGCCCACAAGCGCGGTCAAGCTGCAGTACGTAAACGAATTCGCGGACCCCCGCGAGCTGTGTAAAGGACTGAAAATGTACCGCGACAGGGGAGAAAACGTATCCGTAGAGGAGTCGGCAATCAGAGAGGTGTTGGTCTACGCCATATTCCACCTGATGGCTGTCGTGTGGCGACACACACAGGGAACGGGCGGCAGTGTGTTGCTGTCTCCTGGTGAATTCGTTAACCCGAAGATCTCCGCAAAGGTATGGGTTGGTTCAAAGCTCGTCCGTGTATTGGGTTTGGATAACCGGTGTAGAGCCATTCCGTTTCTGAACAGATATGTATGTATGTCTGTCTGTTCGTATACGTGCACTTACTTTCTTTTCTGGTGAGTCTTATGTCTTATCTTCCTCTGTTCGTTAAGTGTATTGGGTTCCGTCTGTGGGTAGTCTATAGTTGAATTTGTGTGCGCTGGTGTGGGAGCAGCTGTCCCTTTAGTCTCTAGTCGCATCTGCTTTTGTTTATAGACGTACAGTTGATTCCGTTTCCTAGCCACATCTGCATTCGTTTATATACAAACAGTTGATCCCGTTTCCTAGTCGCATCTGCATTTGTTTATAGACGTACAGTTGATTCCGTTTCCTAGTTGCATTTGCATTTGTTTATAGACGTACACTTGATTCCGTTTCTGTTCTCATTGTGATCGCGTTCACACTTGCTTGTACTATTGTTGGCGTTGTCTGTGCTTCAAGCTACGTTATTAGCGTATAGTGCGTTTTTAAGCCTTTTTTTTTAGTGTAATGCGTGTTTGTGTGGCATTGTGTTGAACGATTATAAAAGACACTGCTGTGATTTTTAATCGCGGGAGCGGTTACAAGAAAAGAAAAGAAAAGAAAAGAAACGCTTGTATTCGGTGGTGCATAGATGTACTGGAAGCTAATCCGATGCAGGCACATCCTGAAACGGACTTACGGAGCGGTTACAAGAAAAGAAAAGAAACGCTTGTATTCGGTGGTGCATAGATGTACTGGAAGCTAATCCGATGCAGGCACATCCTGAAACGGACTTACAAAGCAATATGTGTACTATTACCAATCGCTGAGCTACGTTCTCCCATGCGACTAGAATATCTCCCGTAGACTGTTAGAGTGTCCCGTACTCCACCTCGTTGATTCTATGACCTCTGTGCTATTCACCTGCCCCCATCTGGCGTCAATGGCTTTAGTATGATGGCACACGTACCACATTCGTACATGTCCATAGTTGGGTGTATGTCTGATGTACACACATACAATCACCAATATCCATATACTACAATCCATGCATATACCTGTGCACGTATCATGTACAAGCTCGAGCATGGCCATACACCATGTATCCATATATACTTCGCTACATGCAAACAGACATACCTACGAACCAATAGAATGCCATTCAGCTCTATACATAAATACGTTTACACTTGTGGTTACGTTGTGTGCCGTGTTGGGTGGGCGTGCTAGTGCGAGATAAGATGATATCTTCTGTCGTCTCTTTGCCCAACCTCTTCGTCATAGCTCTCACGTATCTTTATTGGTACACGTGCTCTCACTCTCAAAGAGTGAGTGCGTGAACCACGCGCACGCTACCAACCCAACCACTTACATACTTCACGACATAAATGCAGATAACAAAACACCTACACGCATATGTACTCACATACACACATACACGTACACACTCGTCACATACGCCTTTATACCTGCACACACCACACCCGCATGGATATGTACTCACATAC